TTTTGGCTTTTTTGTGAGAGAAAGAATGTAATGATTATGAGATAGAAGTGATGTTTTGTCTTATTGGGCTAAAAAACCTATTTTGTTTTGTGTGGCTAAAATAGCCCCAAACCCACTTCCCAAACAGAGGCATAATAAGTTTTGTGGCAGAAGAAACTTGAGCACAGAAAGGAAATTCTGAACACCAGTGTAGTAATTTAAAATGTGAAACAAGATAAAGCATCCATTCAGCTTTCAAAGAAGCAAATCAATAATCTTTGTAAGCTTCTCAAGTCTACCATCTTAGGTCCAAAATCCCCCAAAACTTTCTCCAGGAGTTGTGGAATGGAAGTATTTATTAGGTTAGCACCAAACAGTTACTAGATCAGCATCCGACATGGCTCAGAATAACATAAATCAAAAATTTAAAGATTTTGTAATATGTAAAATAACAATTTAACTAGAGGATAGAAAAGTTGACTCAAAATGAACTTCAAAGATTTGAGGTCAAAACCACATTTCATTTCTACAGAAGATCATAAGCATCAAGCAATTTGAAAAGTTTCCATGCCAGTTTTAGCAAGTAATTAAATGTCTATCCCAAAAACAACAAAAAACCAAGTAGCATTGCACTATTTCATCATCATGCAATCCTAAATGGATATATACCATAATGTATGACACAAACAGAAAAACTCCACATAGGGGTGAACTTGGATTTACACATAATTAAACACAAAAATATAGTGGCATCACATATGCAGAAGCATAATCAAATAGTTCCTGAAACTCCAAAAGATTAATGCACTTGATGAATTGCCCTCTTTGATGTCACTGAATCCAAAATAATTAAAGTTTAATTTTTTTTTTTAAATGATCCACTCAGCTCCAAAATTGATAAACATTAATTAGATTCAAGAAAACATCTTGTGATCTCACACCTACATAAACTGGCATAGGTTAGATGAATAAATGCAACTTAAACACATCCTTCAAACCTGGCCAAAATCTTTAACCATTGACGTAAGAGACCAATCCATATGCAAAAACAGTGAGAAAATTGTGATTTTAATTGAGAAAATTTACTTCAAGCACCTTGGAGAGCAGAATCAAGTAGAGAAGCAAATAAAGTAAAAGTTGTATCTCCACCATCTGACAATGCATCATCCTCATGCTTGCAAGATTTTAATGAATAACTTCCAGGTCGACATATCGAATCAGCACCAGCATCTGCCTCAGATACACCATGACTGCCAGCCAATGATTTTCTCCACAAAGCAGATTGTGTCTTTGCAGGTGTTCCTTCTAATTGATCAGAATCAAAGCTCTCAACCTCTTGTTTGATATCTTCAAGAAAAAGTGCAGCGTTTGGCCGCCTTTCAATGCTCTGCCCGTCATACAAAATCCTGGTTCCACTGAACTTAGAAACTGAATTGTCGTGACTGGAAGTTGAGTGCCTTTTCCTACACATTGCATAATCATTTAGTGCAGGTATGCACAAGCGAAATACAGTAAATTCTGTAATTTGTTAAAGCAGTGTTGGTAAAAACGCACTTAAAGTGCAATAACAGAAGAGCTTTTAGTGGGTAAAACGAAGCGTATTTACAACACTACACTAAAAACATTCTATCTAATAAGCTTAAATCGAGCTTTTTTTTTTATATATTTTAACATATATAATTTATTAGCTCTACTTTTAGATTACAATGATGATGGTGGTATGCTTAATGAGAATGATCATTATACACTTATAGGATTGTATTGCATTGCTTATGTTAGGCATGGACCACTAGTGTTTTTCAATTTTGACTTTTAGATATATTTTTATTCAAGCATATACGTCATTTTGATCATGACTATAAAGTATCATGATTGAGAATATTTTGTAATTGTGAATATTTGGTAAAGCACGTGAGAAATTATATAAAAAGATTTGTTTAAATGGTATATGATTAGTTGGTCACTTTGTTATATTATCCATCAATAATTGTTTTCAAATTCAAAGATATTGGCAAGTGATGCAAAGTATAAGAAGCACAAGGAAGCGTAAATTCAAAAAAGCGACAATATTTGAAAGTTGGCATGATTTCAAAGAAAAACCAATAGGAACCATATATAATCATATTTCTAATATTATTAGAGTGTTATTTTATTATTATTATTATTAAGTTTTCTAGGATTTTTAGGGCAGGGGTATGTTGGTAATTTTCATATTTGCTGACATGGGCTGTAGGGGTTGCCCATGGGTTGTCTTGTGGATCAAGTTATTTAATTAGTTTTAATTTATTGTTCTTATTTGGCCTTAAATTAGTTTTGAAAGTCACAGTATTTTTAGTAGTTTTCTTTTTTAGTTCTAGTTGGAATAGGAAATCTCTAAAGCTTATATAAAGTTGTGTAATGCTTCTAAGTTAATAGAGTTGATATTAGAGAATTTTAGAAGCTTTGAAATTTTCTTACGGATTGTGTGACGCAATCAAATCCCAGGTACTAAGAAGGACAGACATGGACACGCGACACAACACATATACGATACGAACATGCAGACATGCCAACTTTCAAAAAATGTAGGACACGCGGGGGACACGTATGAAATATATAATTTAATATATTTATCATATGTCACATATATGACTATGTCATTCAAAAATAATAAAAAATGTAATATAACACTTATTTTATAAATTTACTTTGTTTTTTCTTTTATTATTGTATCCTAAGTTATTTAGTTCAAACTTATAAGTTATAACTAGTTTTATGTGTGTCTACTCGATGGACACTTATGTTTAAGCAATGGACACATGTGTCCTCTAAATGTCCGGATCTAAAAATCTTTTAAAAAATTTGGACACATTTTGACGAGAGTCAGACACATGTCGAGAAGTGTCCAACAAGTATCAGTGTCCGTGCTTCTTAGCCTAGGTGTGATGCCTAAGGGATTTTATGAGTGATTCCTAGAACTATCTTCTTCTTCTCCTTCTCCTATTATGTTTTCTGCACTTTGACATTAAAATCAGCCCCAAAGCTCACTGTTGCTGCTATCTCTATTTGTCCTACATCAACAAGCCTATGCAAATTTGAACTACAACCTTTGTACAACTGAATATTTCAGTTAAAAGGCTAAATATATTCCTATTTGACTTTTTAACTTTTTATTATATATGTTATGAATCATTATCGTTATAATTATTTTCTGTGAGCTTTGCACCTACGCTCCAAGATGCCTTTGTGTTCAAGTGTGCATAACGCTTTCACCAATTCATTATTCACCAACACTGCCTGAGAGCACAATGCACTAATACTACGGGGAAATAAATGTGGTTAGACCAAATTGATGGAAATAAATATGAACAACCCAAATGATACTGGTTGAAATTGGGCATTTTAAAGATACAAAGGGGTTGTTATGATAGTGAAGCAGAAATAGAGGGGAAAAAGTGACTAGTACTGAAATGCAAAGCGTATGGTATGGTAAATAGAACAGAATACCCATAACGACGATAGCGCTCTCTGGTGCTGAGATCTTCGGGGTCGAAGTAGCTGGGAGAAGTCTCCATGTCAACCTCCATCGCTGCAAATATTGGTTGTGGAAATCCTTAAAACCCTAAATCACTTCAATTGTGTGTCCAGTCTGGCTTGGATCCAAGATAGAGAGATACAAAGGGTTTAGGGTTTAGAGAGAGACAAAAGCAGAGGGAAGACAGACGGGAGTAGGATCTGAGGAGGAAAAATTGGCTAATGCATGTCACAACAATGATATGGTGTAACGCACCAATCAAATTCAATAACAGGCTAGCCAGCATCGTCATCACCAAACAGCCTTTTGCCTTTTTGGGAACCCAACGTTAAAATGATTCACTTCTCTCCCTATATAAAAAAAATTAAAATGATTCACTTCTCTCCTTATATAAAAAAAATTAAAATGTTAAAAAAAACTAAACAGTTAATTTTTAATTATCTTTTTACTTAAAAGTCTACGCATGAAAATAGAAAAATATTTTCACATACTTAATTATCTCAATCCATATTATTTCTTAGTATACACACTTTGTAATTTAATTATTAATTAATTTTCTCAATTCATATACTAAGGCCCCGTTTGGGGACTTACTTTTTTAGTTAATTAGCCAAAAAGTTACTAAATTAGCCAAAAAGCCAACAACTCATACCAAAAAGTCAAAGATTCTCTTTTCTCTCTACTTTTTGCACATCTTTTCGTAATTAGCCAAAAAATCATCCCAAACATACAAATTTTTTTTACCTACCTTTTTAGCCAAATAGCCAAAAAGTTACTAAATTAGCCTGTTCCCAAACGAGGCCTAAATGTATCAATTATACCATTCACTCATATCATTATACACACACCCCTTCAACCCTCATTCCGCACACTTGTCCCTCCTTCCATACGCTGCCTACTGTTATGGTTTGGAAATTTGTAAACCCACAGTGTTACAACAGTCGAAGTGAAGACCCGCATTGAAGAACCAAAGTTCTCTATTGAAGACCTCCATTCTATTGAAGACTTCATTAAAGACCTCCATCGACGATACCATGGAAGAGACTCCATTGCATTGTTGAATGTAAACCATCATTCCATTTTGTTATTGCATTTAACATTTTATTATTGCATTTATCATTTCCAGACATTTGTGCACTCCATTGCCATAAAACCCTTGTTTTTTTTTTCAACTTTTGCGATTTTAAGTTTTCGGCCCCGGTCTTCCGAAATTATGTGTTTATTTCAGAAATTTACTTTCGAATAATATTTACTAATTCGACAGATTAGTTTCGAATAAAAACAAAAATATCAATGGTTGAATTCCGAATTTAACAAATTATTTCAGTTCTGTAGTTCTGAATTTTGTCAATTTTTTCAACAGTAGATTTTTCTGAATGATGTATTTTGTTTCAGTACTGCAGTTCTGAATGATTTATTTATTATTTATTTATTTATTTAGACAAAGTTACACATCAAGATTGGATGGACCTTAGGTTCATTTATGTTTAAAAAATGACAAGATTGGAGTGTTGTTGAGAGTTTGATTTTGTGAATGGGAGTAGAAGCAAATCTGTTGTGGTGCACTGACATAGAAGCTAGTATTATTCACTGAAATTCATGCTATCATTTTATTCTTTTAGGTCTATTTTTCCCTTTTCGATTCCTCTTTTCCAACAATCTTATTTTATTTTATTTTACTAGTGAGATTTGAACTCAAATTTCTTGTAACTAGAGAACACACCCTAGTCTAACCTCTAATGTTATTGCTATATTGGTTAATGACTACAATTTGACTATTTCATTATATTTTATTAGAGTGTTTTCAACATAAACGCTCTATTGGGTTAATGAGAACAATTTTGCCTATGTAGATGGATGCCGGTCCTAGTCAACGTTGGTCAATAACAACTTTGAATAGAAGACTCCGTGAATTAGTAAATGCTAAACGTGGATATGGACATGGACAGCTGGAGTGCATGATGATGATGCACACATTGTCATAGATGATGATACTATACACGATGCACCAGTTATGGACAATATTACTATGGATGATGACCCTGCTGGTGATGATGTTGGCATTGTTCATGAATATATCCTTACTCAGCCATTCTCGAGAGGGCCAACTGATCTATCAATCCCTAAAAGTTTTAAAAATCATGTTGCCACAACAATTTGGAATGGTGCTAATGAAAGGGGGCCCTTGAAGTGTCATAATCACTTGTCTAAGATTCGTTCGTGGTCATGGTGGGAACAAGGCAACACCGCTACATTTGTAAACATTGTGGAGTTGTTAAGACTTTCACACTTAGCTCGTTGCACATACCGCTTTGTCAACAAAATCATTGTGTCCAATTTTGTTAAGAGATTGCAACCAAAGACAAACACATTCTATTTGACTGTTGGAGAAATGACTATCACATTGGACGATGTCGCCACTATCCTATGGCTTCCCCTTGTAGGCAAGTCTATCAGCGTGCGTAAGTTGACAGAAAGGTGGGCCATTGCATTAGTAGTTAATACCTTGGGAATTGATAAGCAAGAGATCAAACATGAGATGTCTAGTGTTGGAGGCAATTCAGTGAGGCTTGAGTGATTGAGGGCACACTTTCATAATGTTACAGACGATGATTCAATGGAGAAAATTGCAAATGCAGGTAGAGCATACTTGCTATTTTTGTTGGGTTGTACACTTTTCAGTGACAAGACTGGTACCAGGGTCCCCGTTGTTTATTTGAGTTTGTTATCCGATTTGATGACCGTACCTTCATATGCTTGGGATGTTGCTGCATTGGCATACTTATACAAATAGTTGGGGTACACTATCAGGTCTAGTGTGAAATAAATAGCCGGTTACACGACACTTATTGAAGGATGGATTTATGAGCACTTTCATAGATTCCGACCACACCTCAATATGAATTATACTCAACACATGCCACGTGTTTACCATTGGACTTCTCAAAGAGAGTCTGGTGAAGAGACACAGTTGCAGGCATTTCAAGAGGAGCTTAATAGGTTGGGTGTACATGATATAAGTTAAAAAGTCCTTCGAAATTAAAACTTTATTTCATACAAATTTTATAGTTGTTATATCTTATAGTTGTTGTTGTTTGTAGGTTATTTAGGATCTGTATCAGAGTTTCAGAGATGTCCATCTGTGTCATCTAGTCATGTTCTACCACGGTTGCCTGAAGTGTTTGGAAGTAGTTGAACAATATCACCCTCATAGAGTTTTGAGATAATTTGGCAGAGTGCAGACAATCCCTAATCCATCACTTGGCCCTATGCGTACTTCTCGAGGAGCCACAGCTCCATGCTACAATGTTATGTATGCATACCTGGACATCATTTAGGAGACATGGGACAACCATGTGTTATCTAAGCAGAGGAGGAGTACACCGGTACAGTAGCCTTGTGGTTGTGTTTCTGGTTACATGGATTGGTACCAAACTATTATCCATACGTATGTTCAAAACCTAGTGCGTCGTTCTCAGGTAGACCCGAATATTCATCATTATCAGTATCCTAGCCAAGATGCACAGGTATCGTGTTTTTCATTTACATTACAACTTATGTATGTAAATTGTTCAAACAATGTATATAATGTTGTACTTGTTCTCGTAATGCAGCATATGTCACAGATATATCAGATTACTCATCCTTTCATTGAGGCTGGCTATGAGGACAGTGTTAAACATCCTGATAGGCTTTACTATGCAATAGATGCAATTGAACACCTTTTGCAAGATCAGCACATTGTTGAAGCTGCGCCCAGCACATCCACTTACGGTCGGTCTACACTTTGCTCCTTTACTGCATATCGTTTTGGAGCACATCACACTCGCCGGTCACGTAGTTGATAGTAGTTCATAATGTTACATTAGGTATTTTTGTGATGGTGTTGGTGGATGTACAAGGAGACGAACATTATTATTATCTTTGGATTATGTACTTTTTGGATACTTTGGTAGATTTAGTAATTTAGTAGTAGGTATTTATCAGTGGTACTCTTTAATATTATTATTACTATTTGCATTGTGTACAAGAAGACATGTATTTTGTGATGATGTGGATGGATTGAATTTCTAGTTGATATTATTTTGTCTTTTTGGATACTTGTTGGTTAATATTATTACTCTTTAACAGTAGTTGCACTTGGTTAATATTATTTTTATTACATTTTGTGTTCAGACAATGTAATAAATATGATATCCATTTCATACATAAGACAACTATAACTTATATGATATTCCATCAAAAAATGGCCATTACAAAATCCAATGGCAAAATGATATCCATTTCTGAACTTCGTGCTACTATAAATCATAAAAACTAATCTCTTAAATCTTTTAAATATCCTAGAACTTCTCTCTAATACATCAGTCAATGTCAACCATATCAAATGTCTCTCGAGTAACAACATTAGGTCCTATATTGTCTTTGAATTTCTGAATGCGGCTAACATATGCATTCTCCTATTCTGATGCACAAGGGTGATGGTGAACTCGCCAAAGCACAGCAATGAAAGGAACTGGACGACCGGCCTTCAAAAATACCTGCATGAACATGTAATGAAATTTTCACAACCCAAACCCGTCCCTATAGGTTTAGCATCGCAATCAGCCGGTAATCCTTGGATTACCAAAGGCCTCTGAACAGAATAACATATAATTAGGGGGCTGCGGAAGCAAATATATAAAACACATTGTCCATGGAGCTGTGTTGACGTATATGGAACTATGGGTGTGCGTGGTGCGGGTCGGTGCGATTTGAGTGAAAAATAGAGACCGTATGGCGGGTGGCGGATTGATAAAAGTGTCACTAGAATTTGCCATTTTCCTTATCAAAAACCGGCGGTTCGGTTGGCAAATAATGGCAGATTTACCTTGGCGGTTTGGCGGTTTATAAAAAATTTAATTCAAATTACAAAACTTAAATCAAAGAGTAAAAAAAAGACGAGAGATACCGTGATGTTAAGCATCTTGCGAAGCTTTTTTCTGATGCAGTAAGTGTAGCAACAACATGATAATATCAACGACTATGCCATCAGTTCATTACAAGCATCTATGGAAGCTACAATGATCAAATACAATACATAAAATTAATATCATTCAGGGTATTTAATTAGTTTTAATTTATTGTTCTTATTTGGCCTTAAATTAGTTTTGAAAGTCACAGTATTTTTAGTAGTTTTCTTTTTTAGTTCTAGTTGGAATAGGAAATCTCTAAAGCTTATATAAAGTTGTGTAATGCTTCTAAGTTAATAGAGTTGATATTAGAGAATTTTAGAAGCTTTGAAATTTTCTTACGGATTGTGTGACGCAATCAAATCCCAGGTACTAAGAAGGACAGACATGGACACGCGACACAACACATATACGATACGAACATGCAGACATGCCAACTTTCAAAAAATGTAGGACACGCGGGGGACACGTATGAAATATATAATTTAATATATTTATCATATGTCACATATATGACTATGTCATTCAAAAATAATAAAAAATGTAATATAACACTTATTTTATGAATTTACTTTGTTTTTTCTTTTATTATTGTATCCTAAGTTATTTAGTTCAAACTTATAAGTTATAACTAGTTTTATGTGTGTCTACTCGATGGACACTTATGTTTAAGCAATGGACAGATGTGTCCTCCAAATGTCCGGATCTAAAAATCTTCTAAAAAAATAGGACACATTTGGATGAGAGTTAGACACATGTCAGGAAGTGTCCAACGAGTGTCAGTGTCTGTGCTTCTTAGCCTAGGTGTGATTCCTAGAACTATCTTCTTCTTCTCCTTCTCCTATTATGTTTTCTGCACTTTGACATTAAAATCAGCCCCAAAGCTCACTGTTGCTGCTATCTCTATTTGTCCTACATCAACAAGCCTATGCAAATTTGAACTACAACCTTTGTACAACTGAATAAGACTCTAACCATTTCACTTAAAAGGCTAAATATATTGCTATTTGACTTTTTAACTTTTTATTATATATGTTATGAATCATTATCATTATAATTATTTTCTGTGAGCTTTGCACCTACGCTCCAAGATGCCTTTGTGTTCAAGTGTGCATAACGCTGTCACCAATTCATTATTCACCAACACTGCCTGAGAGCACAATGCACTAATACTACGGGGAAATAAATGTGGTTAGACCAAATTGATGGAAATAAATATGAACCACCCAAATGATACTGGTTGAAATTGGGCATTTTAAAGATACAAAGGGGTTGTTATGATAGTGAAGCAGAAATAGAGGGAAAAAAGTGACTAGTACTGAAATGCAAAGCGTATGGTATGGTAAATAGAACAGAATACCCATAACGACGATAGCGCTCTCTGGTGTTGAGATCTTCGGGGTCGAAGTAGCTGGGAGAAGTCTCCATATCAACCTCCATCGCTGCAAATATTGGTTGTGTAAATCCTTAAAACCCTAAATCACTTCAATTGTGTGTCCAGTCTGGCTTGGATCCAAGATAGAGAGATACAAAGAGTTTAGGGTTTAGAGAGAGACAAAAGCAGAGGGAAGAGAGACGGGAGTAGGATCTGAGGAGGAAAAATTGGCTAATGCATGTCACAACAATGATATGGTGTAACGCACCAATCAAATTCAATAACAGGCTAGCCAGCATCGTCATCACCAAACAGCCTTTTGCCTTTTTTGGAACCCAACTTTTAATTCACTTCTCTTCTTATATAAAAAAAAATTAAAATGTTAAAAAAAACTAAACATATCTTTCCAAAACACTCCTTTCTTGCTATTTCCGTTTGCATTCTTTAATTTTTTAAATCAATCCGCACTTTTTTCTCTCACATTTTTTTAGTTTATGCTTTCACGCCAAAAATTCGAATTTGAATTCTTTTTACTTAAAAGTCTATGCATGAAAATAGGAAAATATTTTCATATACTTAATTATCTCAATTCATATCATTTCTTAGTATACACACTTTGTAATTTAATTATTAATTAATTTTCTCAATTCATATACTAAATGTATCAATTATACCATTCACTCATATCATTATACACACACCCCTTCAACCCTCATTCCGCACACTTGTCCCTCCTTCCATACGCTGCCTACTGTTATGATTTGGAAATTTGTAGACCCACAGTGTTACAGCAGTCAAAGTGAAGACCCGCATTGAAGAACCAAAGTCCTCTATTGAAGACCTCCATTCTATTGAAGACTTCATTAAAGACCTCCATCGACAATACCATGGAAGAGACTCCGTTGCATTGTTGAATGTGAACCATCATTCCATTTTGTTATTGCATTTAACATTTTATTATTGCATTTATCATTTCCAGACATTTGTGCACTCCATTGCCATAAAACCCTTCTTTTTTTTTTCTACTTTTGCGATTTTAAGTTTTCGACCCCGGTCTTCCGAAATTATGTGTTTATTTCAGAAATTTACTTTCGAATAATATTTACTAATTCGACAGGTTAGTTTCGAATAAAAACAAAAATATCAATGGTTGAATTCCGAATTTAACAAATTATTTCAGTTCTGCAGTTCTGAATTTTGTCAATTTTTTCAACAGTAGATTTTTCTGAATGATGTATTTTGTTTCAGTAC